CTTTATCCTCACTGAAGAAAAAAAAAAAGAAAAAACTCAATACCGAGAAACGCAAAGCCTTAAATGCCACATCTACTACAGTGGTACATTGCTCTTCATGTTAACACAAAATACAGTTAACCATACACAGCGCGTAGAGGGTTTTGGGACAGTTTAAACCGTTTTTGTTTTAGAAACTTCCCAAACTAGAAACAGTTCATTGTTTTGACACTTACGGGTTAACCTGTGTGAAAGCGAATGAAGTGCATGTTTTCCTGTGCACCAGTCTTCCCAGTCTGGCCTTGCCCTTTACAATGCAGTATGGGACGCCCATCTTGCGGCACAGAGCAGGGAGGAAAACCACAAGCTGTAAAAGCATGACAAAAACTGTTAGAAAAAATACAAAAAACATGCAGGTAGGGCTAGATAAAGTCTACTAAATGAATACAAGTCTTTAGGTGGTCACTGCTCAGGGTTAAAAAGCTCGTGTTTTGATCCACACAAAAGGATTCAGGTGAAGAAATTCAGACATCATTGCCAGTGACCCCCTTAAAGCTCAGCTAGCTAGCTCAGTTTTAATTCTCAGTCTTACCTCAATTGGATCCACATCATGAGCAATGACAACCAGCTGAGCCTTCTTGTTCTCCACCAGAGAGGTAACGGTGTTCACACCTGGGAAAAACAATGACATTTAACATCTGATCCTCCAAGCACATGAAAGAAAAATATATTCATATCTGGCCAATGCTCAGGGTTAAAAAGCTCATAAAGCATCAAGGCAAGTTTCAGGTGAAGAAATTCAGGTCATCACTGCATCCTGGCCAGTTTGATAAAGCTGATTCAATGTCAAACCTTCCAATATAAAAATATTCTACTTCAATTTATTTAGAAGGTCCTTAAGCTCAACTCCAGTAGTTTAGTGCTCTTCACCTGCACGGAGGACAGGAGGCCTCTTGGTGGGAGTGTCTCCTTTCCCAGCTGCCTTCTGCTCAGCACGAGCCAGCAGCCTCTTCCTCTTCTCCTGCTTGGTCTCTGGTCTGTACTTGTGGGCCAGCTTAAACAGCTGGGTGGCTGAATCAAAGCAGACACATGTTTAGCCACAAAATAAAGCATCTAACAAAGGTAAAAGCATTTAAACCAAAATGCATCAGTGATCTTGGTGGAAATGTCATCACAATCAGATAGCAAATATTTCACATCATCTGCAAAGAACAAAGATTTCTAAACTATAATATACTACTGATGCATCATCCTCTGGTGGGTTGAAACACTGAACAGAGGTCAGCAGGATCCTAATCAATGCATCTCAGTAGTGTGTCCTTAGGTTCCAGGTTTAATAAAGTCCTTATTAAAAAGCACGGGAACATACCTGTCTGGCGGTCCAAAGCCTGGGTGAACTGGTTGATCGCAGGAGGAACCTTCAGACGCTTGTACAGAATGGAGCGTTGCCTCTGCAGGCGAACGTAACGAGGCCATTTCACAAAGCGTGTCAGGTCACGCTTTGGCTGAATATCCTGGCCTGTGGAAAGCAAATTGTTTATGTTCTAAAAGTGAAAAGTTTTCCTCCATTTAGATGCTCCGTACTTAAAGTGCATCAGCGATCTTGGTGGAAAAACTATCATCAAGGATGTTAAGATAGCAAATATTCTTTCACATCATCTGCACCAACTCATTGAATGTTTTTCAGGTTAAAAGAATACTCACCGATGCCAAAGTTCTTTGGCCTCTTCTCAAACAGGGGGTTAACTACTTTCTTGGCCTCATGTTTTTTGGCCACAGAAGGGGCAGGTGCCACCTTCTTCCCCTTAGCCTTCTTTCCCTTAGGCTGAAAAGACAAAACAAAAGGTTAGGGTCATAGCTTATCTATGACAAGTCAAATTATTTCTGACAGTAACATATAGTCAACCCCCGCCCCTGAAAAAAAAAACAAGTATTCAGTGCTAAAGTTTTTCAATCCAGCTCCTTAAAAGCAACTGTCCCACATGTGTCGACTTATAAACTAAATCCACAGACTTAAGTAAAGGGTGATTAAAGGCATGATGAAGCACAGATAGCTGGGAGAAAAATAATTTGAATCAGCTGTGCTGGAGCAGAGTCCTCAAATTTAGGAATGTGTTAACACGAATTATTTCATTAGTTTGAAATTGTTACCTGCTACACGAGATAGCTTAAGAGTAGCATAATATGATTCAAGGCTAAGCTAATCCTAAGCAAAGAGCCAACAGAAATGCAAAACTAAATTGCTATAATTAAGTAGAAAAATATACTACTAAATTAAAAGAAATTACAAATTATTAAAAAATGAAGCTGCAAACAGGGTTTATCTCATACCTATACCTCATAAAGCTAGCGAATGCTAAGTCAATGCTAGGGCCCTTTTGGCTAAAGCCGTTAGCAAAACGCTGCCCAATACTTTGTGCTTGGTCAATAAAAATGGTCGGCAGAATTTTATATAATTTTGTGTAATATCTAGTAGGATAACGAAATGATGAAAATCCCGAATCCGCGGCTTTTTCCGTATTAGCTCCTATCCTGTAAATACAACGCTGCTAGTACCGGCGACACTTCAACCGCTAAAACCCAGTTTTAATCAAAAATATCACAACAGAAACAGTCAATATACTCGTAATATTAAATAAATAGTTTATAATACTTGATATCGGAATTGTAAAGTACAACTTTAGGCGCACAGGTGAGGATGAAAGCAGATACAAGAAATAAAACAATATCCCAGAGAAGTCAAACATGTACCCACCATGTCGGTTCAGGCAGAAAGGAAGAGCGGAGGATGTGGCTAGGGTAAATACCGCGAGATTTGCCCCGCGACTGCGTGTACGTATCTACGTCAACGAGGCTGATTTGGAGTCAGCTCCTTACGTTCTTATTGGATACTACATCACAGCCTGACCTAAGAGAAACAGACACGGGATCAGTTTAGTAGGAAAATCGTATTTCCGTATGAAAACGTGCCATGCATTATTTCAAATTAGAAAAAAGGTTACCAGAATCAACTTTATTAGTCAAGATTGTGTCACGAATGGGGTATTTAATTCCAGAACCATGTGTCTTTATTGTCATTATTTCACCATAATGTTTTTTTGTTGTTGTTTGTTTTTTTTCTGAGACACAGGCTAAAACTAAACATATAGTAGACACATGTAAAAAAAAAAGAGAAAAAAAAAATACAAGGAATGAGTATCCCTTGAGGAAAACTAGAAATGTATATAAAATACTAAAGGTCTCATTTGTGTTCACAATGCCAGATGATGATCTTGTGCGCATGTGAACATATTTAAAGCTTTAGAGATGACAATGGTAGGATAAATACTAAGCAAAAATACGTCGTCATGAGGCAGTGGGAAGGAAACAATCTTAATGCAAATAAATCTACATTTTAAGACCCCATAAGTGGAACTAAATACTGTTGCATCTTTATGGACAAACAAAACTCAAAATTTAACCCTGACAAGAAAGCAACCATCATGAAGCATGCAAAAGAACATTGAGGGTTTACCTGAAGAATGCAATCCTAACTTGTGAAACATTACTCTTTTTTATTATTTAATATATATTGAAAAGAGAGATGTTTGCTGGAACTGGAATTAATTACAGGAAACTGAAAACTGGAATTTTTTAACCAAATGTGTTTTATAGTTCAAAAAACCAACTGTTATATCAACTATAAAATACTGATAGCAGTATAGAATCCAGATGTTTTGAGTTTAAGCCCCACTACTGACACTGGGTCCCTGAGCAAGACCCTTAACTCTACACTGCTCCCCGGACGCCACACAATGCAGCCCACTGCTCGCCAAGGCGATGGGTTAAATGCAGAGAGTAAATTTCATTGCTCTGTACTTGTGACAGTGTAACGATAATAAATGCTAAAAAAAAAAGATACTTGTGTAAATGGCAATCTAAATTATGTTTGCTATTTTATCGCTGCAAAATTAAAAGCTGAACCATTTCTCTCTGTGTGGCCAAAAACAGCCTTACTATAGTGAAATTATGGTACAGTGAGTGTATGTATGGGGAAAAATGGGACATATTATTTAGTTTTTTTACTCATGATATTTCAGAGTTCTGCATTTCTATTATTCCTTTAACAAACTCATAGCAGGTTCTCAAATGTGATTTAAGTAATAGAAAGCAAACTGTTTACAAAGCTGTTTTCTCTACAGATTGTGATAGCTGTTGTAGAGCAGGATTCCCCAAAGTCGGTCCTTGAGGGTCTCTGTCCTGCAGGTTTTAGAGGTATCTCTGCGTTAGCACAGCTGATTCTGATGATTGCAGTTCAGCAAAAGCCTGTTAATCAACTATCAATGTAAATCAGCTGTGCTGGAGCAGGGAACCCTCTAAAACCTGCAGGACAGCGGCCCTCGAGGCCCTGACTTTGGGGATGCCTGATGTAGTGTATGGCACAGGAATGCATTTAGATGCACAGAAGAGCGTTTAGTTGCACAGAAGAGCAATGGAAGCAAAATGTATGCTAGTTTGGGAATTAGGTAAAGCAAATATAAAAAAAAAATCATATTTTAATTTCCCTGAGCTAGATTTTAGTAATGTTGTGTTATGAAAAAAATAAACTGAACATTACATTTATTCTTCTCTCCATCAACTTCAGCCCAAAGTACAGGTTTACACAATTATATAATATATATTTTATTTAAATAAATATACATAATTGGTGTTTCACTGTTTAGAGAAAGACAATAACCAAACCAACATACATAAATATTCGGGGAACCCTATCAGTGGGAACTTTGTTTATCGCCAGTCAAAGCACAAGCAGGACACATTTTTGCGACGCACAAAATTACGTGACTTCCGTAAATATGTTGGGTATAACTATACATGGTTATAATTGACTCTTTCTTTTTTTAAAGTGAATTTTCTTTTATTTCTCACAGTAAATTATAATTTCTCAGAGTTGAAAATATTTTAGCTCCCCTGCGATCCACCCCTGACCCGCTACGTCAGGCTACGTCATCACGTTCTTTACGTGCTCCGCCTCAGCTCTGCGGATGGGGGTGGGGACAGTTAGGATGTTGGTGGATCGGAGTGAAAAAACGTCGCTTTGTCGGCTCTTCTTCTAGCTAACACACCATCCGCTGCTTTCTCTCAACACGACTTGTTTAGGCAGAGATGATATATAACCACCTTGACGGCGGCAGCTGCTTCTATTCTGTTAGTATGATGCGTTAATAACAACTGTTAGCCCTGGAGAAAGGAGGTCTGTCGGGAGTAAACACCAGGGCCTGTCACTTTGCTGAGCTGTCATCCTCTGCACATAGGTTTAGGCTTGTTGTTGTCATATTTTATATATCTGATCTGTCAGACGCAGTGTGTTTATGAAGTCGGTGCACACAGCCTGCTGAGTTACAACAACAACCTATGTTGTAATGTGTTTTCCTTGTCATGTCTGTTAGGGTACATCAAGTTGGAGACAGCAAGTAAGATGGCAGAGCAAGAAGTTTGTCCTCACCTGGAGTCAATAGGGGAGGTCACTAAGGAAGACCTTCTCCAAAAATCTAAGGTGTTTTTTTTCTTTAGTATCTATTTGTTGTCAATTTGCTGCTTAAGATGACATCCATCCATCCATCCATCCATCCATCCATCCATCCATCCATCCATCCATCCATCCATCCATCCATCCATCCATCCATCCATCCCATTTACAGCTGTTGTAGAGTAAGCATGTGTGTCAAAACAGCACCTTTAAACTGCTGTTTTTTTGTATTTTCCAGGGAACCTGCCAGTCATGCGGAGTCGGGGGACCCAATTTATGGGCTTGTCTGCAGGTAGATGTTTAGATTGTTCTTTAGTTTTGAAAGTTGGAACTGTGTGCCTTGCATTATATCATGTGTGCTTCAACAGCAGCCTGTGTTACACTTACTTTATCCTGTATTGGAAGGTAGTTTTTTTGCTAAATAATTAATAATGGCGTAATAAATAAAGGTAATTGAGCACTGCTGCTGTTTTATGGCACAAATGCTTAATCTTGTATTTTGAGTATCAGTGGGGAAAAAAAAGGTTCCAATTAGTCAGATCCTGTCTGATTATTTGTTTCTGCTCTTTAGAGTGACTGTTCATATGTTGGTTGCGGCGAGTCCTACGCTGATCACAGCACTCTACACGCACAGGTAAAAACATCTGATGCTAAGGAAATTTAAATGTTTTTTATGTCTGTTGCCAACAGTGCATTTAATTTAGAATACAGTTCTTTTTAACTTTTTACACATTTTCTTACAAATATTGCAAACCTGAGGATATTTCATTGAGCTTTTAACTGGGCCATTCTAATGCAAGAGGCCATTTTGCTCTGTTCATCTCCCCATCAAGCCTGACCAGCTTCATTGTCTTTGTCCAAGAGGCTCCACAGAATGACGATGTCGCCACGTTTCATTGCATTGTGTTGTGTTTAGATTTGCAGCCTTTTTTAATTCCAAGATCTTTTTTTTTACTACAAGTAATATATGACACACACATATATATATATAATATTTATCATAAAAGTTATAAATTAATCTATTTTCTGTACATTTCTTGATTTTAGAACAGAATAAAATAATCAAGATATATAAAGTAATTTTCTTTGGTGGGTAACCATGAAAGGGCAAAAAAACAACAACCTTGCACCAGATGATTAACCACTGGTTTACCACTCAGTAAATTTGCAGACTGAAAAGTTCAGTCCTGTTGCCGTTTCAACTGAGCCCCACCTCTTTCCATTTCTCATCATAGTTTTTGGTCTAATTACACCCCTCTACACCCTTTATACAGAGGCTAAATTATAGATAGGTGGCTTTCTTTGACTTCTTCTTTGGTGGTAATGTGTTAACTAAGACTGGATTTCTGTCATACCTTTCTAATATTTATCAGAAATGAAACATGCAACATCTTTATTCCAATCCACTATTATGCTCCACTTTAAAAGGTGGCTACGAGCGCAAACACGCAGCATCAGCGGCCAAAGGTGCTGCAGATATATTAATGATGCCAACTACAAAACACACAAGCACAAAAATCAAGTGCTTTATAAAAATGCTATAAGAGCAAATCTGCTAATCACAGAATAATGGAAAGTATTAATCAAGGAAAAGTGCTGAGGATACCAAAAACAACAGAATGTAAAAAAAAAACCAAAATAAAAAAACTGAAATGTGCCAGACCACTAGGGGGAGCTAACCACAAGTCAGGAGGGAGCAGTCCTAGTATATTGTTGATTGTCCTTAAAGGAATAGTACACCCAAAACATGATTAGCCTTCATTTTCTACTCACCCCCATGCTGAACAACACTCTGGAGTACTTTTTTGATATCTCAA